AGCATAGCCTTGATCTCTCAGCGGGGGCTTTGGGCAAAGTGGAGTTAAGTGTCTTGCCCAAGGACACAACAAAAGCAGACATCAGTGGGAGTCGGTGGAGAAGATGTCAAGGTGGGAATCCTGAAGGTGTCAGGATTACTATTGCAACAACACATCATCAGTAGGGTAAAACTAACCTGTCTCACAACGGTCTAAACCCAGCTCACGTTCCCTATTAGTGGGTGAACAATCCAACGCTTGGTGAATTCTGCTTCACAATGATAGGAAGAGCCGACATCGAAAAATATTGTCATATTTTTATGCCATAGAACAGCGACCCCTCCTGGTATTCTGCCTTTAACATAAACATGTTCCCGTCTGGACCAGTGTAAAACCATGAACACTGTACTGCAGCAGAATCTCAGGTAGCCTTAATAAACAGCAAAAAAACACCTCCACAGTCAAATTATTAGAAACCTTAACACATCAACCTTAAATTCTTGTCTCCCTTTAATGCCCTTTCTTTTATTTGTCTTTCTTCTTTCTATAAAGTCATATAATCATATCTTATAGTTATACCTCACCTCTTACCATTCTTATTATGAATGTAATTTATTTCTGTATCTATTGTAAATATCCTTGTTTTTGTCTTTGTTATTTTATGTATCAAAGCTTATGTAATTTTGTCTTTTTTGTAAAAAAAAAAAAAGAATAAAAAAAAGAATCTCAGGTAGAAATAAGCAAGATAAATACAAATTGTAAAACACAAAACAACAACTGTTTCAGAGCTACTTAGGACTTGGTGCCGTTTTCCAGCGCATTCAGCGCAGGGTATTTGTCACTGATATAATAACTTCGGACTAGTTTTGTTGTTCTATTGTTTTATTTGATTGTATTTTCATTGATTTTATAAATATTGCATGGTCATGTGGTGTTCCCATGACACCTTAAATTAGCACAGTGTCAGCTGCGACACTCGCTCGCGATCCTTCTCTATTTCTTTCATTGCAACAACCTATAGCTAATGTGGCTGTTATGCTGGTAAAGTAAAAAGACAACCCTATTATGTTATGTGGGGACTTTAATTTAGTTCATGTACCCTTTGTCAATCAAAACACCCGCACTCCCGGCAGACAGAGCCCTCTCAGCTTCATTTGTGGAGCTTCAGAACATTGTGAGGGATGTGTGGCGCTGTATTAACCCCTCCTCTCGCGAGCACACCTGCTATTCTAAAGTCCACAATTCATATTTAAGAATGAATTATTCATTGTTTTCAAATTCTATTTTATAAAACGTTATAAACTCTGAGATACACACAATATTGATATCAGCTTAGGTTTTCACTCATGCAGAACAAAACAATGCAGATGTAACAATGTGTTTTCTAACTGATTAACATATTTGTGGCACTATTAGGAGAAATAAACTCAAATTTCTTTGAGACAAAAAACAATTGTGTCTCTTCACTACAAATTGTGTGGGAAGCCTATAAAATTACATGCAGGGGATGGTGTGGGTCCAAATATTTTGAATTATAATTTTCTTCATTACTTGAAGCATCAATGATTCTACAACATTCCACTTTATGAACCAGATTTGAGTCCCAAACACCTGTCTGTCACTGCTCAGTAAAATCGGCAGCATTTCTCCAGGTTACCACAAGAGGGCGCTAAACTTACACTTCAAAAGCCTCTGCACTGCTAGATAACCTGCGGCGGCACCAGGAGTTTGGAAAGGCCGGTCCCAGAACCGTCTTTCTGCAGACGCCGAGGTTTAAATCAGCTTATGATTTTTTATATATGAATTCATTCATTCATTTATAGACGTGTTCACGTGAGAGTTCTGAACTAGACTTGACCACAGACTGCGCACGTGCGTCTTGCCAAGTCCGCGTTGTTAGGGGCAGCATATCTGTTGCTACGGGCAACGCATCTTTTAAAACAGCGCATCTTTTGAAACAGTACATCCGTGCTAAACTTTGCTGAGAAACTGAGAAACTTTGCATCATTCATCAGATGTTTCTAAAGTCAAACAAATGTTTTGAATAATACTTATCATCAATATGTTCACTTTCCCTGGTCACTTTAGTCCTTGTGGGTTTGGCCCATACTCACACACAGACAGTATAAGACAGAATGCACTTGGATGTATGTGAGAGCAGGTTTACTCTGAGTTTAGACACAGAACTGCGTCTTAAACTACGTGTAAACTATAAAAGTGACTAGTTACTATATAATCATTGCAAATATTTTATATGAATTCCCTTTATATTTTAAACAACTGAATTGATGGCCATGGACACAGACCACTTCCAGCATTATGTATTTAAAGCACACAAAAAAATGACAACGGCTTTATACACTCAGAAATGTTATGTTATTAAAGTAGTAGCATTATTATTATATATTTTTTTTCGACCTCTGTAACAGTTAGGTTACAGAGTTTGTTGGAGAGTATGGGACTAATAATACAATATTTCTCCTACGGGGATCAATAAAGTATCTATCTATCTATGTAATCTCGTATTGCACTTTCTGCACACTGATGTACAATTTTGACTTTGTAAGGGTTCTTTGGTTCATTTCACAGTAAAGTTCTATTGTTCTGTGCACAATTTACACACACACACACACACACAGACAATGTTAGGCTTTAGTTTAAATGGTTATGAGCGCTTTGCACGTAGTACGCACTTTCGTGGCTGCCCAGTTTGGGGCGCTCAGGCCTAATAATCTGCAGTTCAAGTCTTGTTTAAGTAACATTTTGTGAAAACCAGACCTCAACATACTGTCTTCATCTTGGTGTCACACTGGAAGGAGGAACCACAACCTTGACTGAGATTAGAAAGACCTACAGATCAGATTCAGATTCAGATTCATTTTACTTGCCATGTGCAGTATAAAAACTACATTGGAATACATTTGCAAAAAGGTACTCTGTGTGCATCAACAGAGCTTTTGCAGCGGCACCCTTTCTTTTCATGACTCTTGACTGTAGATTCACACCCAGGCCGTGTAAGGGATACTTGACCAAGAGAGTGGTGGGTGCTGGGCCAGATGACCTGGCCCCAGTCACCGGACATGAACCCAGTCCAGATGGTTTTGGGGTGAGCTGGACCACAGAGTGAAGGCAAAAGGGCCAACAAGTGCTAAGAATCTCTGGGAATTCCTTCAAGACTGTTGGAGACCATTTCAGGTCACTACCTCTTGAAGCTCATCAAGAGAATGCCAAGAGTGTGTGAAGCAGTAATCAGAGCAAAAGGTGCTACTTTGAAGAACCTAGAATAGGGCTGGAAAGCGGAAGTGCGAGATTTTGCAAGATTTCCACCCGTGGATACAAACAAACCACACGTGCCACTTGTATGGTGCTGAGATCGCAGACTTCTTCCTCCTTAAAGGACTTTCCTGTGTTATTTTGGACACATTTAGTCTCTGGGACAGAAAAACTGAGTGAGCGGTCGGAATTAGCTGTGAACTGACCATGTCCTGAAGTTTATATGACGGGGAGATGAGAAAGGTGCAGGGCCGTGTTCAAACTTATTGTTTTTAATCCACTATTATGCATCAGAAAGACAATATAGAAACTCTATTCCCATGCAAATACATTCATGTCCCTTACAGCTATCTTTGCTGCATTGGTTATGAGCCAATGTTTATGAATGATATGTTTTCTATCTGTTCATTAGCTCCATCTCCACTTCACATTCTGCAGCTTCACATTGCTGTGCTGTCAAAAATAACATGATGTAGTTGGGTTACCTATTCATTTACTACTAATATTATGATTGTCCGTTTTCTGTTATATTTGAACATTTGTTAAATGTTATTTAATATGTGCTAATATGTTCCTCCTTTATCTCTCAAATAAATAAATACATGTATCCTGTGTGACAACAATAAAGTTAATCTAATCTTAAAATACAAGCCACAATGAAAGGCTCGGCAGCGCACTACAGGTTAGCATTAGCTTCAAGTTAGCTTGAATACATGGGAAACATTCATGGGAAACCTAAAAAATGAGCATGCTTCATGTAAACTTTGATGATAACAGCCGAAAACAAAGCAGAGCATTTTGCACCATTCATTTAAACCGCCTCTTCGAACAGCTGGCGGTTTGTTTGTATTCGAGCAATGAACTGGAAGTGCTTCTGGGACGAGACTTTCCAGCCCTATAGAAGACATGTGAGATTTCATAATACTTTTAAGCAACTTTTGTTAAAGTTAAACTCATCAATCTATCAATGTGCAGAAGCCAGTACTTTTCCCTTGTTTTGTCTATCTGAAGGCCAAGCTACATGGCACCGTGGAAGCTGCTGATTGGAGGTCTCCATGCCTCCGCTCTGTATAATACACTTGCATTCTTCAGACATATATTCAGTTGTTTCACGTATTTTTAGTACGTAGATAATTCCACATTTTTCATAATAATAATAATTCAAAATTTTGAGGCCTTCAGTGTGAATCTAAAATGTTCATAATCGTGAAAATAAAAAAAAACTCTTTGAATGAGAAGGTGTGTCCAAACTTTCGGTCTGTACTGTACATTACTTATTTGTGAATATTTGTTGTGAGAAAACTAGTATCATGTTGAAAGCTTGCCTCAGATAAACATAGTGAGCAGTGTTGCAGTGATGTCTGACATGTCCTGTTCCTCCTCCACAGACCCGTGTGCTCCTTCTCCTAAAGACCTCGTGCACAGGACTCTGCCGTTTAGCTAAGTCCTTACACGCTCTCAACATGCCTGGCAGTGCCGGCAGCTTCTCTCGACCTGGGAGGGTCTCTTACTCTTCCTCTTATTCTCACCTCCCTCGCCCTTCCCTTCCTTCTCCTCCCTCTGCTCCTCCTGCTAAGCGCCATAAGCCTGCCGCTGCTCCTCCTGCTGCTCCTCGCTGTGTTCCCTCTGCTTGGCTGCGCTCTGTTCATCCAAGCAGGCTTCTATCTAGACCTCCTCCTTCGGCCTTCTCTGGTCCCCCTGGCAGGCGCCTCACAGCTCCTCCTAAGCCTTCCTTGGCTCCTCGTCCTATGCCTTCCTCTGCCCCTCCCCCTCCCAGGCATCTTCAGGTCCTACCTCTCCCTGAGTCTTGTTTACCTCCTCGGCGCGCCTTTCCTCCTGCTCCTGCTCCTTCTGCTAAGGTTCCTAAGCTCTCCAGTACTAACTCTGTTCCCGTTGTTGCGCAGTCGCAGCCTCCTCCCCTGTTCCCTGGACCTGTCCCGGACTGGGCGGTGCAAATGGAGGCCTACCTGCAGGAGCGGGAGCTGCCGTGGAAGGACTGGAAAAGGTCATGTGAGCCAGAGAAGCCAATTCCACCAGAAACTCACAAGTATTCCTTCTATTTTTAAGAATTGATCCTTTCTCTCCTTGTGTTTCTTTGGAGGAACTGACGAGGAGCGGGTGTTCACTCGGCGGGTCCTGGTGAAGGGTGATGTATCAGTTTGTAGCATGTACATAGTTGGATCCCAGTTTGATCCCATTTTATTATTGTGTTGGATCCCAGTTTGATCCCATTTTATTATTGTGTTGGATCCTCGTTTGATCCCATTTTATTATTGTGTTGGATCCTCGTTTGATCCCATTTTATTATTGTGTTGGATCCCAGTTTGATCCCTTTTTATTATTGTGTTGGATCCTCGTTTGATCCCATTTTATTATTGTGTTGGATCCTCGTTTGATCCCATTTTATTATTGTGTTGGATCCCAGTTTGATCCCTTTTTATTATTGTGTTGGACCCTCGTTTGATCCCATTTTATTATTGTGTTGGATCCTCGTTTGATCCCATTTTATTATTGTGTTGGATCCCAGTTTGATCCCTTTTTATTATTGTGTTGGACCCTCGTTTGATCCCATTTTATTATTGTGTTGGATCCTCGTTTGATCCCATTTTATTATTGTGTTGGATCCCAGTTTGATCCCTTTTTATTATTGTGTTGGATCCTCGTTTGATCCCATTTTATTATTGTGTTGGATCCTCGTTTGATCCTTTAAAACATATTTCATTGCTCACCAAAAAAAACCTCACATCAATATCCAGCATGAAATATACATACGCATGCACGTACACACACACGCATGCGCACACGCACGCACACGCACACGCACGCACACGCACGCACGCACGCACGCACGCACACACACACACACACACACACACACACACAAACACACAAACAACACTCAGGACGAGGACGATAACCACCTAGACACAACCTCTAGATATTGACAGATACTGTTGATATTGAATGAGGAGGCTTCCACCTGCGGCAACCCTTTTCTTGGATGCTATAAGCCCAGCCAGAAGGATCCACTGCTGCTTCCGGTTCAGATTGATCTGAAGTAATTCAAAAGAAAGAACTGAGAAGAGGTGGTCCCAGAAAAGGCCAGACCAAATGCCACAAATTTCAAACCAGCTGTCACAAACGAGTCAGACCAGACGCTACAGAAACAACTCTCAACAAACGTCAAACCCTTGAATGAATAAACAGATGCCACTAATCTGTAATTTGTGGCATCTGTTATTCATTGCATCAGGTCTAGTGTATTTTGTATTTGGTACCTGGTCTGATGTCTGTTATTTAATGAAATCTGGTCATCTGGACATCTGGCCTCGCATTGGTCATTTTCACATCCCTTTGATCACAAAACATCCTGTTCATTGATGCAAACTGCGCCTGCAGATGTAGCCTGTGCATCAGTGTATATTTAGTTGGTTAAAGGGAATGCCTTATGTGTCTGTTGTTATCCTGATCTGTGCTTGATAGAAAGTCCCTGCAGGTAGTCCACAGAAAATATGCCCGTGGTGCAGGCAGTGGAGGATGGAGTGGAGGAGGAGGCTTATATCCATGTTATGATGTCAAAATCAGGTAAAACATCATATGGACTGTTTCATGTGTCCCTTCTCCCACTGCATTTTATTCCGTGTGTACTTTTCATACAGATAAACAGCAAAGAACTGCCAAAAGACAACAGGAACAATGTGGATAGCATGTGTTTCCATGTGTAAAACTTGTGATGTTGCGGTGAGGCCATTCTACTGTTCACCACATCAACCCATAAAATATCAATAATATCAATATCTCTTAATATGTTCTTGATCTAGTTTGCTGCCATGTGGTGAACAGAAGAATATTTTCATTACAACGTCACGAGCACTACACCTATATATCCATGCGTAAAATCCCAAAGACTGAGAGCTGTGGTGCCTGCTAAAGACATCTCTGTGCAGTTTGAGAACCATAGTGGGAAATGAGGAGGAACTGTGTGTGTGCAACCATGAGAAGCAAAGGAGACACTAGCCTCATTGGATCTCTTGAAAAAATATATTTTGATAATCAGGTGAGTCTCAGTGAGGTTTCAGGTGACTTTTGAAAGATAGATTAGCTGTTAAAACCTCATCACTACATTTCCCATGATGCACCTGTTCATAATGGTCTCCCATAACCACGTTCAGAATTGGTTGTTAGAGTGTAAGGAGCACATCCTGTGGGTGTGTCATGCCATCCATCATCAATCCTGTGTGTATACGTTATGTGTGCATCTCTGAAACATGAATATCATTTGTAAATTTGTATTTTTGTGTTTTTTGTAAGGTCAGAACAAATAGTATACCCTTGAGTGTCTATTAATATGAATCGCATCAGGGCACACAGCGTAACAAGCCCTGCTATGTGAATAATATGTTTTAGCGTGTATAGTTGCGTGTATATACAGTGTGTGCATAGATTAGTCTGTAGTGGACTATAGGTATTTTGTCTTTTCCTTGTTAAGTTCCACGTGTGTCATTTATAGGGTTAGAGCTCCCCCTTTTGGGCCACGGTTGCAATTAGAAGTATTAGTGTTCCAATTGGCTACTTCTAATATACATTTCTTCTTTTCTGTTCATTCCAGATAATTAATAGTTACTTAATGTAACTTAAGTTCTACGAATAGGTGCGTAGTCCCTTAGGACTTCGCTAGTGGGATATCACTCGTGACCCCCAGGTCACACGCCAGAGAGATCAAAATAATTTGCTCCAATCACCAGCCACCTTCCTCTACAAATGCCCCTGCACAAGGCCGCACCCCCTCTTGAACTCTGCCAAGCCGGGCTGGCCTGATGGGCTCGTAGCTAAGGGACTACGCACCTATTCGTAGAACTTAAGTTACATTAAGTAACTATTAATTCTACGTCATGGTGCTACGTCCCTTAGGACTTCGCTAGTGGGACACAACGCGGAGGCCGTAGGAAAATGTACTCCCAGCAGGCCAGCGAAGGGTGATTGGAGCTCCGCCCGAGCAAGACCCTCACAACGTGAGAGGACTCAGGGCAGAAGAAACAAGCGTGTTACGGGGCCACTCCTACCAAGGATACCCCCACGTAACACAAGCCGTAGGTCATCCGTAGTCACAGGACGCCTCTCCCAAGGGCTCCTGACGTGGACTACCAGACCGACCAAACACACAAAAATGTACCGCACCTGTAGGATGCCTCTCCCAAGAGCTCCTGAACCAGGGCGGAAAGTCAACCGAAGGCCCCCTCAGGGGAGGGACCCAACGGTCTAACTCAGTCCGCTGCACTCAGCACGGAATGGGCCACCGACCGGTCCGACACATCCGAAAGATAAGACCGGACGAAAGAGGAGGACGACGCCCAAGAAGCCGCACGGCAGACGTCCTCGACCGACGCCCCCCTGAGAAGGGCCGTAGAGGCCGCCATCCCACGCGTGGAATGCGACCTGAAACCCACCGGGGGGGCCAGACCCTGCGATTGATACGCCCGCCGCACAGCCGTGGCGACCCAATGCGCCAGCCGCTGAGCCGACAGCGGGGCGCCCCTGTTCTTGGGGCCCAGACACACAAACAGCTGACCACCCAACCTGAATGACGAAGTCATGGCCAGGTAATGCCTCAGCATTCTGACAGGACACAGAAGGTGCTGCCGCTCCTCCTCGGGGGAGGCATGCGGCGGCGGATGGAAAGCCCTAATCCTGATGACTCTCGACCTAAAGGCCGACGTGATGACCTTGGGGAGAAAAGCCGGATTGGGCCACAATTCCACCATGCCGTTGTCCTCTTCAAAGGACAGGCAAGACGCATGGACGGAGAGCGCACACAAATCGCCCGCCCTCTTAGCAGACGCCAACGCCAGCAAGAGGGCCGTCTTAAAGGCGATACACTCGGGACTTGCCCCCGCCGCCGGTTCAAAAGGCGGACCCGACAAAAGGGACCACCCTGAGGTCCCAAATCGGAGGCGTTCTCTGGAGCGGGGGCCTCCTCCTGCGCGCCCCCCGCAGAAAACGTTTAACCAACGGATGAGAACGGGCTGTGAACCCCCCGAATCCGTCGTGACCCGAAGTAATGGCTGCCGCGAACACCGCCAAGGTAGCGACAGCCCTCCCCTTGTCGAAGAGCTCCTGTAGGAATCCCAGGACCCCCTCCAGCGGGCAACACCTGGGACCCCAGGAACGGGAATCGCACCAGACACTGAATAGCCTCCACCTCGTGGCGTAGGCCCTCACAGTGGACGGCGCCCTCGCTCCCTGAATGGTCTCCACCACCGCAGGGGGAAGACCCAGGACTACGAGGCTCTGCCTCTCAGCCTCCAAACCCGGAGCCTGCGGCCGATTATCGGGCGTGAAAACAGGGCTCCTCCCCCTGGACTAGAGCCCCCGGCTCGTCCGGGAGGGCCCAGGGCTCCATCACCGCCATGCCCCTCAGGAAGGGGAACCACCGGGCATGCGGACTGTCCGGAGCCACCAGGATCACCGACCTCCTCTCCTGTTCGATCCTCCGCAGCAGGACCGGCAGGAGACGCACCGGTGGGAAAGCGTACAGCAGGCCGCCTGGCCAGGGGTAATGAGCCAGAGCGTCCACGCCTAAGGGCGGCTCGTCCGCGGCCCTTAAGGTGAACCAGGACGGGCACTGTGCGTTCTCTGCACTGGCGAAAAGGTCGACCGCTGGACGGCCGAACCTCCGCCAGATTTCCGCAACTACCCGCGGGGCCAGGCCCCACTCGTCCTGGAGCGGGCCCCCCCTGGACATCCTGTCGGCCCCCACGTTCCGGACCCCCGGGACGTGGCGCGCCCTAAGAGACAGGAGGTGAAGCGCCGCCCACAGCAGCGTCACTGTCGCCATGCGATGGAGAGCGGGGGACCTGGTGCCCCCCTGCCTGTTCAGATAGGAGACCACTGTGGTGTTGTCTGAGCGAACCATCACGTGTCTCCCCTGCAGCTGAGGAGCAAAGTGCAGCAGTACTCTGTGTACTGCCTCCATCTCCAGCAGGTTGATGTGACGGGCTGAGTCCGACCAGCAGCCTCCTACAGAGCTCTGGCCGAGGACCCCGCCCCATCCTTCGAGCGACGCGTC